GATCCGGGGGTAGATCCTGCGAACCGCTGCTCTTGCTAGGGCTAGTGTTAGTAAATTCAGGTTAAGCCCGTGAGCTCCTACCGGCCGGTCGTAGTTGGAATAGTTTCTTAGGCTACCAGTGAATAAGTAGGAAAAAAAAGTTCCTTTATTGATAAAATTCGTTAAGTCTAAAAAGTTTGAAGTGCATATTTTTAACATGTGACAGGTTGAAAGCAAAAATATCAAAGTTCATCCGGAGTTCGACTACCAAACATTCAGAAACGACCTGAGCATTGTGGAGTTACAACGTCGAGTATAAACATAGCTCCTAGCCTGGGTTAGGCCGCGTGTCTCTGGCCGCAAGACTCGGTACCACGAGAAAGGCACCTCGCAGAAAACTGGAGTAGTAATGCCAAGCATTAAACTCTTTTTTTATTCTCTCGCAATAAAAACATTTGCTGAAGTCCATCGGGCGAACGTGTAAACCACTGAACCATCGGGTGGGCCGTAATGGGCCATCTGGTCTACAAGGGCAATAAAAAGAAAATAAAGTAAATCAAATTCATAAACAGTTATCAGCTTTCATTTAAACGCATTCGCCGCGCACAAACCTGCCTAGCGCAGTTGTGACCTGCAAGTCACCAGGCGAGCGGCTCGCTTTGTATACAACGACTTTATAAATTATTTATTATACAAATTCAGGTTATATTAATAAAATTAATTTACGTAAATGGTTACAACGTATTTTACAAGTGTTTTTTTTTAATAAACTCTTAAATTTAGCAAGTGCAGGCTCACGTCTTATGTCCTCGGGTAAACTATTGAGTAAGTATGGAGCTCGTTTTTTTAAGCCGCGTTCTCTCCATAGTAATTTTGCACCGAGGGTATTTCAAATTTACCTTTGGACATTGACCATGTGCCAGTTTTATGTTGCACCAAATTAGTGAAACGATACTATGATTATTTACAAGTAGAAGATATTTATGTTTCAGGCTAGCCGGTAAAATTTGAGATATTTTATATAGTTTAGTTAAAGTAATCTCCTTTGTCTTTTTATTTACGAGTAATTTTAAAAATCTTGTTTGCAATGATTCTATTTTATCTATGTATGTTACGGCGATTTCTTGCAGGTGGCGGGCTGGGGTTTCGATCAGTCTGGAGAACAAAATGAACTATTAACTACAATCGAAATGTCCGAGGTGGACACGCAGTCCTGTCTTCAAGCTCACGATGCTTCGTTGGCGAACTACTTAACCGATAAGGTTTACTGCGCGAAATATGTCAATGGTACGTACTTATTTTAGTAGCAAATCTAGACGACGTAAACGACGATTGAATCATGCCTACAAACGATTCGTGAAATATTTACATTTAAATTGGATTCTATAGATCTTCTTCTTATTTTTCTTTATCGTTCCCTCCCGGCTGAGGATCGCGACTAGATGAGATGTTCCTCCACAGTGTTCGGTCATGAGTGGCATGGACCGCATGGCACAGACTACCACCAAGTGCTTCCCTTCCCTTGCTATAGATGATCAAACTGGTGGTAGGACGTCTTGTGAGTTCGCACGGAGGTACCACCACCCTGCCTATTTCTGCCGTGAAGCAGTAATGCGCTTCAGTTTGAAGGAAGGGACAGTCGTTGTATCTATACTGAGACCTTAGAACTCATATCTCAAGGTGGGTGGCGGCATTTATGCTATGGGCTCCGGTAACCAGGTGGGCTGCGAGCTCGTCCACTCATCTATGCAATAAAAATAAAAAATAAAATAAAATTCACTAGTATCTTTCAACTAGTTTCAACCCTCGAAAATGATCTTTCATAAAATTTATAGACATTTTTTTCACAACCATTTGACTGAGGTGTGATTCTCAGTGGTCTTAATCTAGACGTGAATACTTGGAAGTAGCTACTTGTAAGTTCAACAAGTTTCATAAACAGTTCGTTGTCTAATGAGATAGTTTCGAGCTGCCAATCTTTTTCAAATATCGAGTCACGACGAGTCCTGACCTCACAGGAAACTCACGAAGCAGAGGACGTGTGTGTTCCAGGCACTAGTAACTGTCACAACGACAGCGGGGGCGGCATGATGGTCCGAGTGAGGAACAAATGGTACCTGCGCGGCGTGCTCTCGTTCTACTACTCGCCCGAGCTGCAGCACGCCTGTCAGAGTCACGCCCTATTCACGGACGTCGCCAAGCACTTGCCCTGGATCAAACAGCACGTCTACGACTTCCTGTGATGTCAACGAATAGGAATAAACGAATAACTAAGTCTTTTTGTATTTATTTAAGTACATATGAACGTACGTACACGGTTCTAGTCATCTTGAATTGAAATCCCGTACAAGCAGGTTCCACTCTCTAGTCTCCACGGTGGCAAACCAGTCAGGATACTGTTTTGAAGGGACCGTCGTTTTACAACTCAATTGAGATTATACTCCGAAGTCTCAACATGGATGTCGTCATTCAAGTTAACTAATATCAGATGGACCACGAGCACGCTCTTGGTTTCACTAACAAAAAATTCAACATGCAAAAAAACTACTAATAAAAACTACTAATAAAAAACTATTAATAAAAACTACTAGTTCGTTTCCAAATGATTCTTGTCCACCTGATGGTTGTCTGGAAGAGATCGCTCTTAGCGATAAGACCGCCAATTGTACTTTTTTGTGTTTAATGTATCGCACTGTTTATTTGTTTTTTGGTGTACAATAAAGAATACTCTCTCTCTCTCTCTCTAATCTATTCACAGACTTAAAATTTCTTTAATGCGCTGTATCTCATTTGCTCAGCTCTAATTTTCGGATCATATTGATGCCCAAACGTCAAAAGTTGAGCATCAACTGAGACAAAAGAAGTACTAAATTGAACTCACCTTCAATCCGAATACTGTTAATTTTAATCAACACAACCTACATACATTAAAACCCATTTCAAGTGGTAAAACAGGCTTTATTGCTACATCTATCTATAGGCAAGACTATACCAAGTTTTTTTTTTATGATTGAAGGATTACTGGTGGCTCGGAGGACTTTCCAGTTTCACCAGGACAGGTGGGCGAGCAGAGGCTCAGCCAGCAGGGTGGGATTTGCTAACAGTTGCCCGAACACTTCCGAAGGTGACCTAACAGCCCAAGAGCAGCTGCTTCGCGAATGAATCCACTACCGGATCGAAATCGCGACCCGCTGTGAAGATCCGGCGAGAAACTCAGCGGGCTGATGCATGGATTAGGTTGCACGTCGACCTCTTTGTCGAGTTCGACGAGTACGGTTACCAGGGTCCCTAAGCCTGCTCCTAGTGTTAGAGCTGAAGGCGTCTAATGCAAAGGTTATTGGATCTGATGGATCCGTGGTACCAAGACACTGCACCTACACAGCGTGCCCATACTTACAACATAGCTTATCATCAAACTTAGATAGTGACGAAAGCTTGGTGGAAAAATTGGTGATGATTATCTATCATCATGTAGAAATAGAGAATTGCTAAGAAGTCCGTTTTTTTCGGAAGTCAGTGCATCTCGCATCTAGATTAAGATCCTGCCTTGCGATTCTCTAAAAGTCAAACAAGAACTCGCATCTCACTACGAAATTCTCCATCACTTCGCATTCGCAATAGAATGACCTTGAATTGGCATTCTGTAAACACTAATCTTAATTACCCTGCCTCGAGCGAAGTGAAGTGACAACGAAGTTTGTTTATACTACTACTAGGGATAGCCGTAAACACGCAAATGTAAATCGAAGCTTACCGGTTTCAGTTTTTCGTTGTATTTATAAGCATTCTGTAAGAAAATACTATGAATTTAAGCTTTGGTGTTAAAGCCACATCTAATATATCTAAAAAGAAAATTAAAAGTCATATATTTATGAAATTAATTGTAATTTCTGGATGTACGCTAAGTTCCTTTGCGTGCACTGGCGAATACCAGAATTAAAAAACAAAATTTTAATTGTTTTCAAAACAATCTCAAGCAGTCGGAAGTTTTTGAAGTGAAACTTCTTTATCGGCGTTGGAAAAAAATTTACCGTCACATTTTTCGGTTACGCGTCACATTTTTCCGTTACGCGCCATCTTTTTTGTATTCATGTCTATGATAATAAAATCCTTTTGTTTAAACTTTATCTAATTTAACTTTATTTAACCAATTTCTAGAAAGTTGCATGTAGATCATTTTTCGAAAAATAAGGCCATAAAAAAGTTTCACTTCTTACGTGTGTACACTAGTACACGCACACATTTTTATTTTGCTTTTTCTAGATTTTTTGTTACTTTATGAGTGAATTTAACGTTAAATAAAAAATTATGAGGTAAGTAAAAGTTAGTTTTGAGGCTATCAATGGTTCATCCATTTGTTTTTTAATCTAAAATTTCAATATATTACCAACAGACTTAACGAGCGTTCTTCTCATCCGACATTGGTGCAAATAGAGGCATTGATAGACGTTTTGGATTAAAAGCTAGCGAAACAAAAGGTTTAATCGTATCTCAACATGTTCAATAAGATAACAAGGATATTAAAAAATATAGGAACTAAATTCTCTTGTCAGATATGATCCATTCCCGAAGAGATATTTAGGACATGTTAACATCTATTTATGTATGATAAATCTATCTACTACGTTTTTATTGATATTCTATTTTAACAGGGAATATCGGTAATTTATCTGTATCTCAAATTCACCAACAAAAAAAATTATATTGAATTAAATAAATCAAATCATTAACAATTTAGGTATTGCAAGTTGGATTGATGTTGTTGGAATGTTTTTATTGATGCAGAGGTGACTGTATTTATGGTAAAGGGTGTGCATATTGGTACAGGGGTGGCAGGCAGTTCCAGAGTATTGACTAANGACGACGCAGCAGCTTTTCTCGCCAGTATAGGCGACACGGGAGCGGCAGGCACGACAGAGGCTGCGGTGCTCAATGCAGAAGCTCTGCACGCAGGTACAGGCGACGCAGGAGCAGCGAGCGCGGCGGAGTCCTCGAGAGGGCTCGCAGTGTGATTGGCCTTGAAGGCCAAAAACTCCGAGGCGAGCTGTGGGTGGCGAAGTCGGAGGAATTCCGCGAATACAGCGTCCATGATCGCTGAGTACCCAGGTGGGGCGGCCCCGGGTCTTGAAAACACTCGCCTTGCGGCGAGGCCCCAACTTCTCTGACCTGAGCGGTTCTATTGAACACAGGTGGCAATGCGGCGCGATTACTACAGGACAAAGAAAAAGCACAACAAAACAGAAATTACGAAAAGAAACAAAACAAATAAATACTTGCAGGAAACCACTTTGTCGGCAAATGTTCCACGAACACAAAAATAACTAAAACAAAACAAATAAAAGCTTCCAGGAAACACACTTGGTCGGCAGATGTATCACGAACACAGGCCGCGCGAACAATGGCCGGGCTAACAAAAGCCGGGCGAACAAAGACCGGGCGATCGAGTGGACGATGAGCACGTCCGCACGTGACGGGTGTCTCTATCGGAATGGAAATTAAGATTCTTTAGATCGTTAAAGAACACACGAGATTCTAAGAGCTATAAAGTCAGATCTAGTTGTTCCTTTATCTAGACTGTTGAATTTTTTTTTATCGCTTCACTTGGTAGACGAGCTCACAGCCCACCTGGTTGTTACTGGAGCCCATAGACATCTACAACGTAAATGCGCCACCCATCTTGAGATATAAGTTCTAAGGTCTTAGTATACTTACAACGGCTGCCCCACCCTTCAAACCGAAACGCATTACAGCTTCACGGCAGAAATAGGTAGGGTGGTGGTACCTACCCGTCCGGACTCACAAGAGCTCCTAAAAGGAGTCGAAACATCGCACGTATTCGGAAAACATCTAATCGAGGGATGAAAGGCTATTTGGTATATCTGGTATGGCTGTTTGGTAAGCGCAATTTTTGCTTTTTGCAACTTTACAGGAAGACCATAACAAAAAAAAAACTTCTTCAGCTATTTGAATGGGGTAAACTTAATTGAAGTTAAATTAAAAACATAGAACGCATTATAAATATTAAATTAAAAAAATTAAAAAGACTGTCTCGAATTTGGAAACGAATTTAGAAAAAAGAGTAACCGCTCGGGAAGCGAACGTGGAGTCAATGCTTGCCCGCGCATACATCATTTAAATTAAATTACTTTTTTTTCTTTCCTATGCTATCATATGAGTCGACTATTATCAAAGCCGGCAATGTGACTTTTGGACAATTATTGGTAAATTAGAAAAACGAATTATTGACTTAGTATTCCATTGGCAGTCACAAAACTCTTCTGAACGACATCTTAGATAAATAACAGGTTAAGTATTAACCTTTATTTAATGCAGGTTTTGAACCGTATTCTTTGAAGGAGACGATTATNATTTGGAAACGAATTTAGAAAAAAGAGTAACTACTGCTCGGGAAGCGAACGTGGAGTCAATGCTTGCCCGCGCATACATAATTTAAATTAAATTACTTTTTTTTCTTACCTATGCTATCATATGAGTCGACTATTATCAAAGCCGGCAATGTGACTTTTGGACAATTATTGGTAAATTAGAAAAACGAATTATTGACTTTGTATTCCATTGGCAGTCACAAAACTCTTCTGAACGACATCTTAGATAAATAACAGGTTAAGTTAATACTTTATTTAATGCAGGTTTTGATCCGTATTCTTTGAAGGAGACGATTATATTCAAATCAATCTGTATTGACATATCAATAACATTTTTTGTCCAAATGCACAGATTGCCACCTTTGATAATAGACGACTCATATATAGTATCAAGTTTACGAAAAGCGCGGCTTGTCTCGTGGTTTACTGTAGGCGCGCGAGTTCATGTCCATCCTGAGAAATGCGGTAGTGCTGTGACCTAGCTAACTATGGTAATGTCGATATTAACCACCGATTTAGTCAACAACTGTCAATTTGGTTTAATCAGTTTAATGTAACTTAAGGTAATTTTGCATTTTATGAAATAAAATAATAATGTGATAAGTAATTTTGTTGTTTATTTTAATCGAGAATTTTTTTTTTTAAATTCCAATTCAATCACCATCAAATGAAAAGACAACCGACAGATCAGAGTCGGAATCAGTATATTATTATTATTATTTATTTTTTTATTGCTTAGATGGGTGGACGAGCTCACGGCCCACCTGGTGTTAAGTGGTTACTGGAGCCCATAGACATCTACAACGTAAATGCGCCACCCACCTTGAGATATAAGTTCTAAGGTCTCAGTATAGTTACAACGGCTACCCCGCCCTTCGAACCGAAACGCATTACTGCTTCACGGCGGAAATAGAAATAGAATAATCTGTACTTGTTGGAAGCGGAGTAGTCATGGTTAAATAACACAATAGCGTTAACGTAGATTTTCGATATCGATAAACGCGCGTCACAACCGTCAAGGACAACACTCGACGTCAGACGAGCGCGGGCAGGCGGGTGAAGGTGGGGCGAGCTGTCCCCGCGCGTCGCCTTTGGCCCCGATGGACATAAACTCGCGCGCATACATTAAATTGTTCATCTTTTTCTAATTGCTGCGTTGAAGACAGTCGAAAACGGGCCAAAAAGCCTAGGTCATGTAATATGCGCCTACACGAAATGTTTAGCTGAGGTTCAGAATAAAATATGTATTTAAAAAAACGGGTATCTATCCTAAATGAGATAATTAAAATCACGTAAAACCTATTCGTTTATCGCATCCTCAAACGATATTCCTGCAGTTGTAGTATACCAGCCGCGGCGGAGACACGTGTTGAGCAACAAAGTTTGAAGAATAAATAAAGCAATCTTATAATCAAAACTCGAAACAAACATGATTTATTTTAAAGCGGTAAGTCAACATTTTTTCGATATAATAATAATTAAACGAATTTTGGTATGTATGTTAATATTATTTAGATTGAAGATACACAGTATGTTTTTACACTTTAATGTGGGAAGGGGGAAGGAATAAGACGAAGACGCTTTGAATTTTTTTAAGAAACATTATTATTTCTGGTTTTTGCTCAATTCATTTTGTGTTTAAGAGGAAAATTGTAAACTTAATCCACGCCGAGACCTAAGATCGGTTTGTAATGTGAAGGTCATGTTGTGTTTTGAAATAATTAACTCTTTTTTTTTTATTGCCCTTGTAGGCAGACGAGTATAAGGCCCACCTGATAGTGAGTGGTTACCGTCGCCCATGGACGTCAGCAATGCCAGGGGCAGAGTCCAGCCGCTGCCTACCGAGCCAAGCCGCTGACTGCACCAGCTTAAGATTTCTCGGAAGATACTACTGCTTCAAATGTCTTATAGTGACTCGTGAATGTATCCCTTGACTTCAAAAGTTAAGGTCTCAATTCAATTTTGTATCTTATTTGATTTAGGTGTACTGTTTTCAGAAATGAAACAGTAGTAATACGTGAGGCAAAAACATTAAATCAATAAAAAAAACATTACACACACTACAGTGTATTTGACACACCCGGACACTCACAGATAAATACTCTTTGTTTATTGTCAAACTTTTGTTATTGCTTAAAGACTGTGGTCAAATTGAGAATAGATTAATATTGTTTATCTTTAATATTATCTGTCTAGAGTGTAGTCTTGGCGAAATCTGTGATTCCCTGTGTAGGAGTATAATAGTCTTTGACAATAGAAACATAATAATGTTCAAACTTATAATTTTTCTTAATTATAGTCGAATTTCGACTACTGGGCGACCACTAATAGTCTGAACAAACGTTCCGAATTTTCAAATAAAAGAAGTACGATTTGTAGGCTTTTAAAAAAAGTTCCTATTCAAATTGTCATCCGTGTTGGTGTTATCAAATGCGTAAAATAAAAATATAAATGAATATTATATAATATTATCAATAAATGAGTGATTAACTTGATTGTGATGAAGCATTTTTTTATTCTGAACACGCCTAAATAAAAAAAATAGGAAAATTAGAGAAAGTTTAAATTCATGAAATCGTTACTTTTTTGGAAAGCAAAATTGAAAACGACCCATTTACAAAAGAAGAAAATCTGAAATAGATCACTACCTATAAACCCGCTACCAATAAAACTAACGATATCTCATGTTTCAGATCTTCGGTGTGGTCTCTCTGGTTTTGGCTGTGGCGACGAGAACTGTACAAGCAGCATTGACGTCTCCGTGTCCTGAGTATTTCACTTACGAGACATCCCCATCGACACCAGATCGGTGGCATGGCGTATTAGTGCTGCCTCCTGAAATGGTCGAAGACTACTTATGGATTTACATCGCATTGAATCGCAAAATTCATGTGTTTGGCGTAAGACTTTTTTTACTACAGCCGTCGTGGCTTGCAGGATGAAGCGTATGATGTACCCTTATAGAAAGTTACGGTAATTTTTCGAACAATACCATAAATACTAAATACTACCTAGAGCCACTGCGTTCATCCACAGTGCGTTTCCAGAGATCTTTTTTGCCACGTACCATCCGGCTTTGGAATGAGCTCCCCTCCACGGTGTTCCCCGAGCGCTATAACATGTCCTTCTTCAAACGAGGCTTGAGGAGAGTCCTCAGCAGTAGACAGCAGCTTGGTGTCTGATGCTGCTGACATCCTCGAGCGATAGCGACTGGTGATAGGACCTCTTGTACTGGTGGTAGGACCTCTTTTACTGGCGGTAGGACCTCTTGTGAGTCTTGTGAGTCCGCGCGGGTAGGTACCACCACCCTGCTTATTTCTGCCGTGAAGCAGTAATGCGTTTCGGTCTGAATGGTAGAGCAGCCGTTGTAACTATAATGAGATCTTAGAACTTATATCTCAAGGTGGGCGGCGCATTTACGTTGTAGATGTCCATGGGCTCCAGTATCCACTTAACACCAGATGGGCTGTGAACTCGTCCACCCATCTAAGCAATAAAAAAAAAGACCACTGTGCAATCTTGATGATTGAATCTTATTAGATCGTAAGCACCAATATAAGGGAATAATTACTCATTGCGTCTTTATGTTCTTAAGCACCTATTCAAAGGTTGTGTCAGACACTCGAACGTTTTATAGATCATTCGCTGCTGTTCGAATTAGAAGCCCGACTTTGTTTTATTACAGAGTGACAGCGGGACTACCTCGACCGAAAACTTTCAAGAATTCTTAATCGATAAAAAAAAATATTTCAACTTTGATAGTGCAAAGAGTGAAGAAACTATAAGGTTTGTTACGTCCTACGATTATGCCCAGCCGATACCGCGCGTCAAGATTATAAGAGTCAATGGACGCGAAATATGCAGAGACAATAATACGACACAAGTCGGAAACGAGATAAGCTTTCCGACGCGCCCAGAGCTTCCGAATATGCTGCTTATATCAAAATTGAATGCAACCGGCTATACTCCCGAGTTTTTGTCAATTTTCCAAAACTCAACCTCTGGAGTTGCGCGATAAAGTGCATTTTCGACTTTAAATACTTGAACTGTGTATTATTATTATTAACTAACGTTGCATTAAACAATAAAATTTGGTACATACTTCATTTCTGTTATTTTCTTTATTCCACCTTAAAGGAGAGCTACTGCAAAAAAAAAAACATTTGAAGTCGTCGTGGCTTAAAGGATAAGACGTCACGGTGCATCGCTCAACACGAATGCACCGACAGGCAGGTACCAATTCTCCTAATGAAATACGTACTCAACAAATGTTCACGATTGACTTCCACGGTGAAGGAATAATATAAATCCATCGTGTAATAAAAATCAAATCCGCAATAATTATAATTTGCTTAATTACTGGTGGTAGGACCTCTTGTGAGTCCGCGCGGGTAGGTACCACCACCCTGCCTATTTCTGCCGTGAAGCAGTAATGCGTTTCTACTAAACTATACTTGAGACCTCAGAACTTATATCTCAAGGTGGATGGCGCATTTACGTTGTAGATGTCTTTGGGCTCCAGTAACCACTTAACACCAGGTGGGCTGTGGGCTCGTACTCGGCCCATTACGGACCTGCGTTATAAGAAGGATTGGTATATTTATTTGAGACTAGCTGACCCGGCAAACTTCCTAGTGCCTCAATCGATAAATAAAAAACCTAAGTAAGCTTAGCTGTATAAAATAAACTTAAAACAAACAAAAGGAATCCGTCCGACGGGGGACACATTAAAGGATAAACAAAATTGTTATTTTTATTTAATTCCGAGCATTTTCATATTTATCTACCTTTCAAACCATCTCTGGACTTCCACAAATAATTCAAGACCGCACGCTACCGTCACTCTAGCGCGCTGGCACCAGGAGGACGGGACGACGCGTCGGCGACTGCGGACTGCGATGCGGTTCACGCTTTCGTCGTCGCCGAACATACTGTGGAAGAGAAACCCGGTCGGCGGTGTATCGCTTTACGACCCGGTAGGCTGGTTCTGGCCCAGCGGGGTATCCCGGAACACCAGCGGCATTGCCCGGGCGGCCTGGCAAGGCCGCCGTACCGCGGAGACCGACGTCGTTGGTCGTCGACTATCGCCTCGACGACCCGTCGGTCGGGCGTCCTCGGGGTGGCGCCGCAAGTCTGGTTGTAGTGTTGACCGCGGCAACCCCTCTACTCTGACCGGGTTTTGACCCCGGACGGAGATCGGACGTCGGGTGTAATAGTGCAGGGGAGTCGTTTAGTGGGTGGGCCCTAAAATTCCTTGGGCCCGTGGTCTGCTTCCAACACCTTGCAGATCCTTGAGTCCCACAAACCCCGCGCGCCCCCTAGGCGCGGGGACCTCGTAGGAGGTTCGGCCCCCGGCCCGAAAAAAAAGAAAATATATAGTCTCTCAAGCTTAGGACGAAACGAAAAAAAAAAGTTGTAAAGTGTCACCCTGTTCCGAAGAGACATTTTACTCCGCTTACAGATCATGGGGTAGAGTCTACCGAGAATAAACGCGGCACGGTCACGGACTGATTTTATATGCGGGCGGAATGTCATCGATGCATCCAGGGTAACGCCCAGGTACTTGACCTTCTTGGCCCAGGGTATGGGTTGTCTAAAGAGAGTAATCGGAGGTGTGAGATTCCTCCTCCTAATCTGGGAGGAAATCCGCGTGGAGCTTCCCCTCTGAAATAGCACCGGAGTACTTTTCGCTGGGTTGATATCTATGCGCCATTTTCGGAACCACTGTCCTAGAGCTAGGGCTGCGCTCTGAAGCTTCTTCGCGATTAGGGACTTGTTTCTACTGGAATAGTAAACAGTCGTGTAGTCGGCGAATAAAGCTAACTGGGTCGGCGGCGAGCCCAATCGTGTTTGCCGGTTCGAACTATCAAGTCTTTTATCATTATTTTGTTAAATTTAATTTTCGATCTTAAGCTTCAAGGTAAAATAGTGGTGACTTTTGTGCTGAGATATTTGGACTCGGGTGACATTTTCCGAACAACGCTATAAAGTATCGCAAGGAAACAGATCTTGCAAACAGATTAAGTGAGAATAAACTCATAAACTAAATAAGCTTCATATTCTGCCGTGAAGCAGTAATGCGTTTTGGTTTGAAGCGTGGGGCAGCCGTTGTGTTGTAAAAACTGAGACCTTAAAACTCATATCTCAAGGTTGGTGGCGGCATTTACGTGGTATATGTCTATTAGCTCCGGTAACCACTTAACAACAGGTGGGCCGTGTGCTCGTCCACCCATATAAGCAATAATCTATACATATAAATAAAATTGAAGTGTCTGTTTGTAATATTGAAATAGCCTCTTTTTACTACATGCATCTGTATACCTAGTCAGGTCATAAATTCTGTCACATGTTTAATGTAAAATAATTGAAACAAGTTTATTCATTATGTAACCATTCATATACCAAAATTAACTTAACAAAACATAAATTCTTATGACACTAAAGTTTATTCAAAATGACCTCCGTGATTTTGAATACAGGCCTTCAATCTGCGCGGCCAGTCGTCTATCGCAGCACGAACGAGGTCCATGTCAATATCGGCGGCTGCCTTAATAAAGGATGTCTTGAGTGACTCCAAATTGGGATGAGGCTTTGAGCACGCCTTTTCCTCCAAGTGTTGCCATATCTTGTAATCTAACGGATTCAAATCTGGACTGGAGGAGGGCCAGTCTTCGTGCCGGATGAAGTCGATTTCACGCGCCGCCAGCCAGTCTTGTGTGCTCTTCGCTCTATGAGCTGGCGCCGAATCTTGTTGGAATA